AGCTTGGTCTGAGAGCATGACTTGATTAGAAAGCATGGAGAGCTTGATCTGAGAGCATTGTTCGATTAGAAAGCTTGGAGAGCTTAATCTTAGAGTATTGCTCAATCAGAAAGTATGGAGAGCTTGATCTGAGAACATTGCTCGATCAAAAAACTTTGAGAGCTTAATCTGAGAGCATTGCTCGATCAAAAAGCATTGAGAGTTTGATTTGAGAATATTGTTCGATCAAAAAGCTTGGAGAGCTTGATTTGAGAGCATAGCTCGATTAGAAAGTATGGAGAACTTGATTTGAAAGCATAGCTCGATTAGAAAGCATGGACAGCTACATCTGAGAGCTTTGCTCGATCAGAAAGCATGGAGAGCTTGATCTGAGAGCATTATTTCTCGATCAGAAAGCATGGGGAGCTTGATTTGAGAGCATTGCTCTATTAGAAAGCATGAAGAGCTTGATCTAAGAGCATTGTTCGATCAGAACGCATGGAGAGCTTGATCTGAGAGCATTGCTCGATCAGAAAGCTTGGAGAGTTTGATTAGAAATCATGGATAGTTTGATCTGAGAGCATTGCTTGATCAGAAAGCTTGGAGAGCTTGATCTGAGAACATTGCTCGATTAGAACGCTTGGAAAGCTTGATTTGAGAGCATTGCTCGATCAGAAAGCTTGGAGAGCTTGATTAGAAATCATGGATAGTTTGATCTGAGAGCATTGCTTGATCAGAAAGCTTGGAGAGCTTGATCTGAGAACATTGCTCGATTAGAACGCTTGGAAAGCTTGATTTGAGAGCATTGCTCGATCAGAAAGCTTGGAGAGCTTGAGAGCTCGATAGCTTAGGAGCTAGAGAACTTGAGAGCGATTTGGCCACGCGATCTGAGAGCTTTGATTTGGAACATACTTTAGTATTTTGATGATAACTTAAGCTGCAGACCTCGAATTTGGATGATTCTTGGACCATCGAAAAGCTAACTCGAAGGGCTACAATTCTTATGTTATTGCTTAGCTAGATTCAGAGTTTATCCTGCTCAGATTTTCATATTTGATAATGTGATTCTAGATTAAGAAGTTGAGACTTGTTGAAGAAGTTGAGACTTGCTAGAAAAACATGGAGAGTTGCTATAAATCAGACCCTCCTTTTAACGCCAAAATATTGATACAGAAATCTGCATCAACCAGAGAATTCTGATTGACCTTGTCAGAACCGGAATGGATGTGCGCGTGATTACAGATAACCAGCAGTAGATGAATAATAAATGTAATAAAGTGAATGGCAGAGAGATTTTTAAAGTGGTTCGGCAAGTTAGAACTTGAGCATACGTCCACTGTTAGCTTATTGTTTCTCAGAGCTTACAAAAAACAGTATAATTCCGAGGAAGTTTTGCTTGGAACAATTTCCCAGCCCCCTTGAAAATAAGTTATGATGGGTTTATATAGCACCCATTTATATGATAGAGTTGAGATAAGATTTATGATGTGTTTATATAGCACCTATTTATATGATAGAGTTGAGATAAGATTCAAATACATAGAATTAGGAAGTTGCATGATCTTCAGCTGCCTTAGTTGGAGTCTAAGTCAATATGAACATCTTCTTTCCAAATTGAGTCAATCTAAATATTTTCTCTCCTAATAGGGAATTATTATCTCCGGATTGACTGCACAACGCATATATATCTCATTTATTTATTTATTTCTAGAATAAGGTTCTATCCTCCACATAATTTTGTCTTTAATAGTTAATCCATGTCCAAATTGTGTCACAACTTTCTACTATGAATATATACCAAAAAAACCGGCTTTTTATTTAACAAATATTCAAATTAGTGCAAAATTAAATTGTAAAATAAAAAATAAAAAAAGAAATCTAAGTAGGGCCTGTCGTTTCGAATGCTATGAATCTTTCTTTTGACAACTTCAAAAGGCAATCAACAATAAAACATATTGCACATGTTTATTTTATTTAATATATTTAGATTCCAAAGGATTTAATTTAGCCTTCAAGAGACATTGAGATTCACTTAATTAACAAAATTAATTAAAATACTCTTGATTGGCGGCTTTCTATAAAGCAGCAAAAATAAGAGCGGTTGATGTTAGTTTCTTGGAGATGAAGTCATGAAGAGGTGAATTGTCAAAGGGGGTGATGATTCATGTCTCGGAAATTAAAATAAGGTTGAAAAGATTGAGACAATTTTGTGAGCATAAAGAGAAAAAAGTCAGTGTGTAACGTGACTAAATTAGAAAAAAATTTGGATCATTCTTTATTCATATTTCAATCAATAATGAACTAAGACTTTTTTTGTGTTCATTGGACTTCTTAAAGCTGCGGCTTGACCTTTGTTCTTCTTTTTTCTTTTTGATGTAAAGTAAAGCCATGTGATTAGGAGACAAACCTCTGTTCATCCCACGCGTTTGCTTGCTTCCTAATGAAGAAGACTTCCTTGATCTTTGTAAATCAATTTGAAGAGATTTTGATTCATTCCGAATAAAAGGATTCAGAATACTAGATTGAAAGGTTTTGTTTTCGGAGTTAAAGAATTCAAAATGTTTCGCTTTATCCATTAAAAATAACCTATTTGATATGTATGTGTTTGATATCTAAAAATTACCGTCAATACTTGATAAATGGGTGACGTCTATATCAATTTTCACATGATCTTCGATATTAAGACTTAAAAGACGGAATTGATTAACAAAATTGATCCTTACCCAACTTTAAATACAGCCCCAAAAGTAATGCAACATGAAGTCACCACATGCCAACCCAATAAAGCAATTAAGAAAGGTTAAAGGTAGAAATGCACACAAATAGAAATAATATTAACTTGGAAGCAACATCTGTTTGACAAAGCAAAAAGAAGGATAAGCACGAAATTTCAACAATAAATGTTCCCACAAAGACAAAATATTTAATATTTCTGTTGATCTGTCTTGCTTCTCCGAACTTATCCAATTCTAGAGGACCCTATTTCATTTAAATTCTCCTTTCATGACCTGATATTCATGTGAAAGAGACAACCAAATGATGACGACCCGTTACCAGAAACAAAATATTTTCAATAATATTTGGTAAAACAATTAAACATGGTACCTTAATTTATAAGAAATGCGGGGATTAATTTATAGCCCAAAAGAGTTATAGAACTTTTGTGAGAGAAATAGGAGGTTTTAACATAAACACCTTAGTGAAAGAACAAAGAGACTCATAGGTTTCGGAATTGAAGGCTTATAACTTTATAATTGATGAAGCTAATTTTCACACAAATCTTGGATACAACGATGAATATACCTTTTTTTCTGTCTTATATCTTGCAATAAAAAGAAGTTGATTTTGACATTTGTGAAATGATCGAAATATTAAATAATAAAAATGTTAAAACTTCAACATTTGATAAGATATAAAGAACTTTTTATTTCTTATTATGTTGACAATTTTACTCTTATACTCATTATGTTTGACAAATATTCGTAAATTATAAGAGTGTAAATAATTCTTGTCGAAACTTCTGGACATATATATATATATATATTAGAATTTGGTACTGGTACAGATTGAGTTTCAGCTCCAGCCACACATTTTTATAGAGGTATAAACTGGGCTGGACCGCATGGTGATAATAATTAGTTCAAAATATCGGCGAATTTCAGGTACAAATAATATCTTCATATAAAAATAAAAAGGTTTAATAATACAAATAGAACAAATAATATAAAGGACCTTTCGGTGATTTTGTTGAATAACTAGATAAAATAAATTATAAAAATACACAAATTTCGACCGACAGGATTTATATGGGACTTGTGAACTGCGTTAGGTCACCTTATTTAAAATAATTAAGCTGGACATTTATGACTCTTAATTTTAAGGTCTACTCAGGATCTTGAAAGTCATGTAATTGAACCACGAACTATGGACTAAATGTGCAACAGAAGGAGGTTGGCCTCTAGAGGGCCTTGGTGTTGGTCATATTTTTATAAAAGATAACTACTTATAAATCGAATCATATTAAAACTCGTCAATAAACTTACTGAAGACGAATCTAAATAGGGGCAGAAGTGATAGTTATATACATCAATAAAGAATGTACAAATTATTGAGAAACTTCGATATGAAAAGATAATACTTTGAATACATTTCATCTCTTCAATAAGTTTAGTAATGAGCATACCAACCCTATTGTTTCGATAGAGAGAAGAACCTATGATTAATTAAACACTTCCCAATTTGCAAGGCAAGATTATATAATCTATATTTGGCTATTGAATCGAGATATTTTCAAAATTGTTCGGATTCTTCATCTTTCATAACGATACCTTTCAATTAATAATATAACATAGTTTTAAAAACACATTTGACATAATAATAATTGTTTGAGCTGGATTGAAATGGCAATGATATATGTTTTCACGTAATCTAATGATCTAACATTGATACAAAATTCAATTGGATGAATTAAGTCATTAACAAATTTTCTAATAAGATTTTAAATGGATTTGATTAACAAAATTGATCCTTACCCAACTTTAAAATATAGCCCCCACGTAAGGCAACATAAAGGCACCACATGTCAACCAAAAAAAAAAAAGAAAAAAAAAGGAAGTTATGATATAGAAATGAAAAAGCAAAGGTTAAAGGTAGAAATGCACATGATTTGAAGGTGAACTCATGATTTTGAAGGTCAATGTAATTGGAGAAGTATGAACTATCATGTTAACCAAAACGTTTGGGTGATTCATCATCGTATAAACAATGGCATATAATTTAAGGCAAAGATGAAAGATCTCATAGGTTGTTATTACCTCTTTACACCACGGAGTTTTTGCTCAAATTGCTAGTTCTTCTTCATATTAATGTACTATGAAGATTGCAGAACATCTCTGTCCACACATAAAACCTGCATCACTCAAGTAACAATTACATCCAAATAAACTATAGACTGGAGTAAATCAAAGTCTAAACATATATTTTCCATATTATAGTCTTCTCTGTCTAACGAGTAAAAACTGTGACAGAAAGATATTAACATTATACATGGTTAGGTGATTTCTAGGAATCAAGTAGATTAAGCTATTGTGTCGAGAAACCAAACCAGCTCATTGTCTGACCTACAAACCTGATGGTGAGGGGAGCCAACATGCGGGCAACTTTTGGCAGTGTTGGGTATGTCAGTGTGCCGAGTATAAACCAGTTGAAGCTTAATAAAGCGACAGCATCAGAAGCAGGTTTGTTCTTAATGGTGGAGAAAAACTGAACAACGCTTTTCAGTGACATGCCAACCACTGTGAAAAGAGCCACCACAAGTGGCATGCAAGGGTCTTCAGCTTCCCAGATAATCATTCCAACCAAAAGCGATAACACCGCACTAAAAAGAGACTGTGAAAGTGCAATTCCACTTCTCTGGTCAAGCACTTCAATCATTCCTATATTTCGTGGGATAAAACCAGGTATATAAGAGTGGATGGATTCGCTGCTCGCTGCAATTCCAGTCTTTAAGATATTGAGAAATTCAGTATTATTCTTGCTTTCACCTGCCCAAGCGTCTTTGTGTGTCATCACATCTTGGAAGAAGAAGTCAGTCCCCTTAAGATTGGATTTCCATGACGGTAACCCATATGAAATGCCATAGTTGTCAGCAGCAACGCCAACTTTTTGTCCATTGTCTTTGTCATGAACTTTAAAACCCCACCGTTCTTTACCACAAATTTCCTTCAGCTGAAGAGTTTCATCCTTCAGACACTGCAACTATAGATGCACAAATGTACACAGATTCAAGACCACTGTCAACCAAGCATAAATTAAAAAAATTATAGCATGGCAAATTTCTTATAAATTCCATGCAATAAATTAACAATAAAGGAAAAACAGATAGACAGTAGTAGATTGTACAGATCAAAGCTTTTGAGGTTCATTCGGACTATCTAATTGCAACATAGTTATGCCCTTTCCTAAGCTCTAAGCATCTAAAATCTTTTTTTTTTTTTTTAATTATGTTACAATTAACTAGCATGAAAACTGATGCAAACTGCCATAGTCAAAATTAACTTGAAAGAAAGGCACCTTGCCACCTCTTGCCAAGACTATATATTCATGTATACTTGAAAATAATTTTACTGTAGCACAGCTTACGGAATCAAAAGTTACTTCAGCTAAAAATTTTGAGTAATAGAATATTGTCACTGATTCAGCATGATTATATTTAGAAAGAAGAAAAATAAGAAAAAAAAAAGGATGATATGAAGACAGGATAACCTATACCACTCTGTCACATCAGCTGGTATGTATAAAATATGGCAAAGCAGTTGTGGGCTACTTCAGACATACATTTAGGTATTACAGTTAGATCCAAATAGCAATGCAACTTTTGACTCTCTCCCTTTTTTCCAATTTGGTCTGGAAACCCCAGATATTACCATTTCATCAACTCTTGATACAGTATTAAGCAAGAATTTTCCAAATAATAAACCACTTCACGCATGAAAAATAAAGGCAAACACAAACTGTTTTGCTATGGTGTTATGAATGATACGTGGTAACATCATAAGTATTACTTTAATAACTATAGTAATACATTCACAATCCAAACCAAGGAAAACTAATCACAACGGCAGGCAAAACTTATCCAAGGGCTGCAAGAGGATAATATTTACCTCGTCCTCTAATAATTCAATTTTTGCCATAGCTTTGTCATTTTCATCTTCAAGTTCAGCTAGCATGGACTCCATAATTTTGCATTCTTTAATGGCATTCTGAAGATGGCCTTCAAGTTCCTTCCTATCCCAGACAAGAGTCTCCAACTCTAACTGCATTTCATGCAGTTGCTGTTCCAGCTGTATATCATAAAAGTCCTTATATTACAAGAAACAATTTAAAATTTAGACACCAAGAAGAATTAGGAACTTATAATGGCTTGAGAAAGTAATGCCAATGGAAGAGATATAACAAAACGATTAAAATTGATAGGAAAACCATGTAATAAAGGAAGAGGCAGGCATAACACAAATGTCTTATACTCTAGGAGGCCTATGCATTTTCTCCATCAGAAATTGATTTATATATAAAAAGTATTGCAAGAGGCATCAGACAAAACAGTTCTCATAGGGTTCAGCCTGATGGGAAAAAAAAATGGAGCCTGACTCTGAAAAGACAATTTTACAACTTTTGTAACTCCAGAACCCATCTTTATTCAGTATTAGCAGTCATAACTCATAAGTTAAAGTTCTCCACCTGTTTTAACTATGCACAGCTCGTCCTGCAACCAAACAGGTAGCCCCAGCCACCATTCTAGTAAATATTTCTTGAAATAGTCTTATCCATTATGAGATGACATGTCTGTATTACTAATGGAAAATCTATATCGAAGAAGCATAGCTTACTTCCGTTTGCAAACAGACAAAGACATGGTAATATGAATTTTTGTGCTGATTTCAAGTTACTTAAATGAATTTATATTAAAAAAAAAGTACAAATAGATATTAGATAAAAAACTGTAGATACGAGTTTTTAAACGAAAATAGTAAAAAATACCAGTCTCTCCCTCTGCAAGGCGGTAAAAACTCGTAGAGGAAGAGTTATAAGAGCAACTGTCCAAGACATTGTTCTGCATATCATGTTCACATGGAAGTTGGTAGTGACATTGACCAGCTCTATCCAGCTATGAAGGACAAAAAAAGTGGTTTTTAGACAAAACAAAATTGCTGACTTGCAAAGGCAAAAGGGCTTCGTCACCAAGATCATTATCATAGCCATCAAATCTTGAAACAAAGACATCAGATACACCATTCTCCAAATATGAAGCTTCTTGCTCCCTCAATCACATGCTGAAAAACACATATTTAATCACTGGCATCCTGCACAAACCATAAATTTTTCAAAATTTTGAAAGAAAGTTATGCCAATAATCACCAAAATCAAAACTAATAATAAACATCAGTAGCACTCGAGCAAGAAATTGATAAAAAGCAAACACAGAAAATCATGACTAAAATTTAAATTAATTAGTAGCATATAAATATTTATTTGAATATTTAGAATCACTTTAAAAACATGCATAATATCATTTCAATTTTCTTTATGAATATAGAACCTTATCGGACTTGCTATTTAAAGATTTATGCGATTTAAAATTAAGAATTTACAGTAAAACGTATGAAACTTTACAAACATTGAACAAATTGATAAACAATTAACAATAAAACTTTGAAAAGAACGACAGTAGATAGTTCCCCTAGATTATAGATGAAAAACTGGCTACTAAACACAAGTTAACATGCTACTAGTAAAAGCGATAGCTATGAAATAAAAATGAAAGCTAATATAGATAGATTCTCCAACTTATGTTCCTATCACATCGATTCATTGTCCATAAGTATCCAAATATAAACTTGAGTCACACAATTGAGTTCTACAGTCTATATTTAAGGTTAACAGTAACCAAATTATTCAACTTCAGAAAGCGAATTGGCAACCAATCTACAATAAAACAGTTATTAAAGTGCGAAGTTTAAGTCTATTATTCAATGATACAGTCTTCGGTCTCCCCTAAATTATTTTTTTTTTTTTTTTATAAATATCAAAGAAATATTGCATATCTGCTGGGCAAAATATGTATGCATATATAGCATCCAAAATCAACATAAGATTTGTTCTACTTCAAAATGAGAGCAAATTATACTAAATAATTAGATCAAGCAATGAGATATACCAAATTCATCTCATATAAATTTAAATTCGTCGTAAAGAGATAAAAGGATCTAAATTAAGAGATGTAGATCGAAATTAAACCAAATTATAAGGACCAAATAGCAAAATCCCAACCTGAGATCTGAAGATAAAACACACAGATCCATGCAAACTCACACTCGGTCTCCGATTCAGTTGATGCAAGGCGGGATCCAATTTGCTTTTTTCATTCACTTATTCACCAATCACAGTACGCCATATGGCTTAAAAATTTCGATCGATAAATTGAAAAAGAAAAAATAGCAGCCAATCAGTTCCCACCTGCACCAAGCGAATTAGAGACCGCCGGTAACTGAATCATTCTCATCTCCTCCGCCAAGCTGAAGCTAAAATGAATGCTCTGAAGAAGATGAAGGCTAATAAAATTTTTGTTTAAAGCCTATTAACCCTATCAGTGGGTTAGGCGAGAGTTGATGGGGGTATTATACATGGCACAGACGAACCTGATGCGCACACGTGTCAGAACCAATAAATCCTGTGATTGTTGAACCGCTTTTCCACCCATCCGAAGAGATCAAAGCGGGAATCCGGAAAGGGGCGGGACGTTAGGAGAATTACGAGGTAACATACATGATCCTACAGTGGATACACAGTGGATTGCACGTGCGCTGGGGTCTGTAACGCCAACGTGGGCTGACTTGTAGAGAGCAAAATTTAAATGTAAAATTGTTGTGGCCGTAGAGTGGAAGCGTAATCTTTGCTGATAAAATATCTGATTCGGTTTAACTGAAAGGCATATTTAACTAATTTTTAATTTGTTGAAAGTAAAATTTGTTTCATGCCTCTAGATTTTATTAGAATTTATATTCATATTGTTGATACATAAATCTGCATCAACCAGAGAATTTTGATTGACCTTGTCAGAACCAGAATGGATATAAGCTGATTACAGATAAACAGTAGTGGAGAATAATAAATACAATAAAGTAAAGACAGAGAGATTTTTAAAGTGGTTCGGCAAGTTAGAATTGAGCACGTCACTGTTATCTTATTGTTTTTGAGAGCTTACAAAGAACAATGTAATTCCTAGGAAAATTTGCTTAGATCAATTGCCAGCCCCTTGAAAACAAGTTAATGATGGGTTTATAGCACTCGTTTACATGATAGAGTTGAGATAAGATTCAAATAAAGAATTAGGAAGTTGCATGATCTTCAGCTACCTTAGTTGAAGTATAGGTCATCTGAATATCTTCCTTCCAATGAGCAAATCTAAATATCTTCTCTCCATAGGGAATTATCCTCTTTGGATTGACCGCACAACAATAGCCCCCCAGTTTTTGGAGTGCGTAACGCACTTCAAAAACTCATGTCTTGATCTGGATGGTGTCGCACTAAGGCTGCAGTCTCGATTGAAGAACTTGAGTTATGCTTGGCGCAATCTAAGAGATCTGAGAGATCTTGAATATGTGATCTCAAGCGAATGGGCAAGCATATGAGCTTAATCAGGGAGCATAATAGCTCAATCAGATAACATAAAGAGCTGATCGGAGAGCATAAAGAGCTCGATTTGAGAGTGAAAGGAGTTCGATTAGAAAGCGGAGAGCTTGATCTAAGAGTATAACTCGATCAAAAAGTATGAAGAGTTGATCTAAGAGCATAGCTCGATCAGAAAGCATGGAGAACTTGATATGAGACCATAGCTCAATTAGAAAGCATGAAGTGCTTGATCTGAGAGCATTGCTCGATAAAAAGAATGGAGAGCTTGATCTGAAAGCATTGCTCGATCAAAAGAATGGAGAGCTTGATCTGAAAGATTGCTCAATCAAAAAGCATGGAGAGCTTGATCTGAGAGCATTACTCGATGAAAAAGCATAGCGAGCTTGATTGAGAGCATTGCTCGATCAGAAAGCTTGGAGATGTTCATTTGAGAGCATTGCTCGATCAGAAAGCATGGAGAGCTGATCAAAGAGCATTGCTCGATCAAAAGCTTTGAGAGCTTAATCTGAGAAACATTGCTCGATCAGAAAGCATGGAGAGCTTGATCTGAGAGCATTGCTCGATCAGAAAGCTGGAAAGCTTCATTGAGATTGCTGATCAGAAAGCATGAAGAGCTTGATATGGAGCACTACTTGATTAAAAAGCTGGAGAGTTTAATCTGAGAGCATTGCTCAATCAGAAAGTATGGAGAGCTTGATCTGAGAGTATTGCTCGATCAAAAGCTTAGAAAGCGATCTGAGAGCATAGTGGCGTGCTGTCGTAGGCACCCAGAATTAAAACCTTCCGAACCTAACTACTGAACTGTAAATGGGTAAGCAAGGGTCGATCCCACGAAGAGTGTCTACCCAAACTTTCTTTGATGTGAAAAACGCTGGGGGTGTTTGTGTAAAAACAGAAAACAATTTCAGTAAAGCAAAAACAATAATTCGAATTCAATCCAAAGGAAGAACTTGGCCTCTGTCAACATCCACCATCGGAATCTTATAACTGATCATTGATGCAAAGAAAATCAATTCACATATTGAATATTCACCGTTGAAATAATTTCCTATCTCTCCTAATTGTAATTAATCAGGAAACAAGCGATCCTAATTAATCTTACCCCTAAACAACCCTAGACAAGCGCTCAAGATTTAATCTAGTGGCAGCCTTAAGAATTAGAGAGATCGACGAAGCTAACAACACAAACAACAAGCAGTTGTATTTAATTTAGTTGAATGTTCTTCGTAAGGTTACTAATTCCTGAGCAGCAAATTACTTACCCAGTGCTTCACAAGTTGGAGGGATCAAACAATTACGGATTTGATATCAAACTTAGCAGTAGATTTCAACAAATAATACACTAGTAGGCCTCCTAGTAATTAAATGCATCAATCATAAAAATATGCACAGAATAACATTCAATACTCAAACATGAATTTAACACTAAAACAGAAAGATCTCACAGTTATTTGATTCCGAGGTTTCTGTTTCTTCAACCAAGTTACAAAAGTTCTAGCCGCTCTAGGCCATCACAAAAACTCAAGTGAAAGAAAATTTCGAGAAGAGAAGAGAGAGAGGCGTGGTCCCCCAAAACCTACTCTGATCTCCCTTTTAAAATACTTTAAGAATTCAAATCCCACTCAATCTCCTAAAAGAAATATTCTCCTATCCTAAAATAACTTAACCTAATTTAATTCTATTGGAAATAAAATAAAATAGAGTCCTAATAAAATAGGAAGGTGGTGTTTCCAGCTGTAATTTTCGTGCAGCATGTATGTCTTCAAAACGTGCAATAAAAGACTGACTTGCATAACACGCTCCAGGACGTCGGTAATGCAGGTGCGTCAACTTCAAGCTCATTGCAACCTTGATTCAGTCAGTATCTCTAAAAACTCAAAACTGAAGTTGTAGATCTCTTTCTTAGCGTTCCACAGCACTTTGAATCATCTCAATCGGAGCTCGGATGAGAGAATTATGCCCAGAATACGAAGCAGGCGAAACTGTCCGAATTCCCCTAATTAATTCCGTTTTCAATTAACACCTCCATTTGCTTCCTAAACCAAAATAAAGTAATAATGAGTACAATTAGGAAACAAATACATATAAAAGACTAAACATTAAGGGGGTTAAATATGACTTTGCATTCCCATCACATAGCTTGATCAGAAAGCATGGAGAGCTTGATCGACAGCATTGCTCGATCAGAAAGCATGGAGAGCTTGTTCTAAGAGCATTGCTAGATTAGAAAGCATTGAGAGCTTGGTTCTGAGAGCATGACTTGATTAGAAAGCATGGAGAGCTTGATCTGAGAGCATTGTTCGATTAGAAAGCTTGGAGAGCTTAATCTTAGAGTATTGCTCAATCAGAAAGTATGGAGAGCTTGTCTGAGAACATTGCTCGACAAAAAACTTTGAGAGCTTAATCTGAGAGCATTGCTCGATCAAAAGCATTGAGAGTTTGATTTGAGAATATTGTTCGATCAAAAGCTTGGAGAGCTTGATTTGAGAGCATAGCTCGATTAGAAAGTATGGAAACTTGATTTGAAAGCATAGCTCGATTAGAAAGCATGGACAGCTACATCTGAGAGCTTTGCTCGATCAGAAAGCATGGAGAGCTTGATCGAGAGCATTATTTCTCGTCAGAAAGCAT